GGCACATGGATCGTTATATGGGCTCAGCATTATCAAACTACATACACGAATATGTAATACGAAAAGCAAAAATTGATTAGGAATTTTCCCGAAAAACGATCCCGGCGCGCGAGTAGACGAAACCAGTTCTGGAGTTCTTGACCTAGGTCCTAGACCTTATGGATTAACAGCGTTTTGCAGCCTCTTCGGTCGTGGGTAATTTATTAAATTAGCGATGGCGTACGATCCTTGTCGATAGCAAAATGTGCCTTCAGCGGAGTGAAATCTCGCTATGGTGAATTTGTCCCATTGGCCTAGAAACATCGGGTCAAACGGCACTCGCGCTAGTCGATTGTCGAGATCTCTAATTTATAGACCAGGGAATTGCGGATTCTTTCTGATAGTACGGGTATAAGTTTATTAATAACGCGATTAGTTATCTCTGCGACCTTTGAAAAAATCACGTTGTTGCATTACCATCTATGATCTAACTATGGCATCATATTGTGCTAGAAAAATGTTTAATCTATACGTGAGCCATCGTCATCGGCTTAATCAGGTAATACATTCAAGGAAATGTGTGATTTTTATATTTCATTTATAAGATATAAACTGATAGATAACACAATATTTATAATTATACATTATAGGTAATTTTTTTACAATAATAAGAAATACAAATTTGATATACCACTGTATTTTGCAAGTAATACAGTAATAGAGAGAGTTGCAAGTTGCAAGCAGCTATTACCTAACGCTCAAATATAACATTTCGAAATGCACTTAATTTTCTGGAGCCTCCTACGTTATTTTTTCGCTTCGGAAACAAACAGAAACATAAATAAAAAATGAAATACGCGGTGAATAACGAATGCATGCACGTTGTGTTAACTCAGAATAAAGAATTTTTGCAGTTATTAAACGACTGTTGACATCACCTATACGCGTAATTCGAGACCTCGCTCAGCAAGGTCCCCAATACGCATAACTATCAGCAAATGCCGAGGCAATAAGGAACTGGAAATTAAATTTCATGTACATATCGGCCCTGATTCGTTCTTTATTTTCAGGCTGCGTCGGCCTTTTGCATTGTTTCAGTCATTTTTGCGTCGCAACGCGACAGTATGCTAAAGGGGGATATTATTGGAAAATTCCGTCGAAATAATTCGAGTTATTTTTCCTAGCGGAAACGGCGAAAATAAAAGAATTAACCGAGCGCGCGCAAAAAAAAATCAACCACAATAGGTCTTGGTTGGTGTTATTTAGCTATTATTTCCATGTGAAAGATAGTTGAGGTGCTTCCACGGGATCGAAGAAGCCCGCAAATTATTCCAATTATTTAGGAGTTTGGAGTAATAGAGCCTTTTCAAAGCAACTATATTACTATTGGATGGATTCGCGCTATATTTCATTGAAATTATAATAATAATTTACAGCGAGCGGGTCTAAAAACGAAAACGATTTTAAAACTGTATAACTGTTGATTATTCGAATATATTTAAATTATCTGTTAAAACTGTATTTTCTTGGTTATTAGATCACGTTGGATTGTGAGTTTCCTATTGACCTTACTGACTTTACGTAATAATTAGAATAGCGTTAGAAATCACGTGGAGAACAAAATAACGTACGTGTGGTAGTACGAAAGTATGTGTATCGATCAATTGTGTCACAGGCACAACTGTAGAACTGTACTTTAAATTTTTACGAGTTCTAAAGAGCTTTTTTTTATATATTTTAACGGTTATATAATCAGCATAAATTCCGTGAAGTTCGATATTGAGGATAGCGGCGCGAACAAAAAAAATTGAATTGGGTGCATTGAAGCGCTAAAAAATCGCTTTGCGTAAGGACGTATTCAATCTTTTAAGGACAATAGAGATAATAAGGATGTCACTTGTCCTTGACCCAAAGCTGGTTTTTGTGTAAAAACTGGTCTATTCGTTCTCATTGTTGTAAATAGGTCATAGATAAGTAAATTCATTAATTATTACATATTTGTTTTCTTTGCAACACAATTATTACGAAATTTTTATCTAAACGGATAAATGTAATACTGTACCATACACATTCATACACGTGGTGTAATAGTTCATTATTTTTATGTATTTACCTAATTACTAAAATACACAGATGCAGGATATTTTTACAGTAGTATTAGATAATTAGCGTGCCCACAAGATATTGCATCAGTAATTCGAACGATAATTCGATATTTAACAATAAAACGCGAAAAGTCAGCAAAGTCGAAGTTCAAATTTTTGGTGTTAATTGATCCGCCTGATGTGGTTTTCCTTCTACATGCGCAAAAATCGAACACACGTGGCCGGTTATTATCTGGTTATTTTCCTCGTGTGCAACCATTAACCTTTCGAACGCAGTTAAAAAATTATCTTATAAAAGTGAAGTAATAAGATTTCGATGACTGGGATTTGGACAGATCTACGAATTACACTGTACACAATATTGAGCGTTTAATTAACCATTAGAAACCCACCAATCGGTTACAATGTAATTATATTCGGGTAAATTCAATTCTCGTCTGGCTTATTGTTTCGATGGGATCAGCGTTTTGAAACCACGTGTCTCCAATGCGAAATCTCATACGAGAATTTCATCTATATAACAGAGTAACGGTTAACAGTTACCAATAATTAGAATTTTAAGTATATGGTTACATAAACCATTTTGTAGGATGTAGGTGTATCATTATGCAATCCAGCGTATGTTCACAACATGTGCCTAGGCATGAGTAAAAACGTGACAACCCTATAATGGACTAACCTAGAGATGTATGCCTTTCCTCATTCATAGATCGCACTCGGACTTGGATTTGCCACGTGAAATAAACACACTTTCGCTATTGACTCAAATACATATCATTATTTCAAACTTTATGTCATTCCTTAAATTATTACCGCATTGTAAAATTGTAGTAAATACATAGTAGTAAATTTTAAACAGTAAATTGAAGAACACAAGTGGTTTTACCCGAAAAAAATTAGTGTGTCGTTAAAATAGCGAGGAAATATGACATTGCGTAATTCTAATAGACTACAAGATAACCTGATTAGCTTTAATTAGTGTCATAAACAAAGGTAGATAAAATTAGGTTAATAGAAAACTCTGTTAATTACTTAAGTAGATACAATGTAATAATAACTATTATTATTGAGATTCTTTAAAAAAAAATTAAATTAGTGCTTTACCTATATACTATCTAACCTTTAGGACGACATTGAACTTCGAAATAATATCATTTTTATTGCAAAAAAATTAGGAAAGCTTAATGGGCACCGAGGTGTAATTTCGACATCTGATAATAGGACTTGTTTTTCGAATGCCACCAGTTAACTATCAATTCCGCTTTAACAAATAAGGAAAGCGATACGTTTGATGGAAAATAACAAGGTAATAGCAGAGGTGCATTGTAAAAAATATGACACAACTAGGAAACTCTTTATCCAGTGCCGTGGAAAGATCCAGATCCAATTACCAGGTAAAAATAATGATCTAAATTGAACTCGATGAACTATAAAGGAAGAAAGTACTTAAATTTGACGAGTTTAAGTATTATATATTTATTGCGAAGTTTTCGTCGATTAGATACTAAATACTTTGTCAATACGATGAAGGATTCGTATTGTAAATAACGGTAATATTCAATAGCAAATCGAGCGCGAAAATGAATTGTTTGGTCTACGCTACTGCAACGAGTGCATTTGCACGTGAAAATAGAGGAAGCTGTACCAAGGTGAGATATGCATAAACTATGAGGTTGTTGTTGCTTAAGACTTTTTTTAGAATAGGAGGATAACTTCAATTGAAAAAATACATGGTCGTTACACTGACACGTACAAAGTGGAAAGTCGTATCTTATTCAACGGTAATTTGTAGTTGAATAATTCTGCTGTTTGTATGATTGTGGTGTGATTCAAACACCTAGTCAAAATAATTTTGTATCTACGCTGGTATCTGATTTATTGAGATACATTGATTAATATTTTATGATAGTTTTCGAGTAAACAATTACATTGCTTAATATTACTGCTAGGTCAGATCATGTAGTAATACTAGAAACAATATTGAAGCTACCTACTGCACTCGCTTTTAGTTCCAAATGCGTTTTCACTTTTTTAGTATAGTGAAATTCAATTTAGTTTTCTGCCTCCTTATTCGCCTCTAAAATCGATTTTTTTCCATATTTATGAGGTCATAGGAATAACATTTACTTAAGCTACTTCCACTATTTCCGGGTCATTTGTGTGAATTGTTATAGTTATTGTCCTCCATAATTTTTTAACATTATTTCACCATGAAAGGCTGCTAGATTTGAGCCGAGATGAAATTCATAATTCATTCATTCGAGTTTTGTTAGAGAGGAAAATTGGTTTTTCGTATGATGTAAATATTATCGTAATATGCTCCGTTTGTTTACCGACAAATTTTGATAAATAGACTTTTAATTCTAGGAACACAGCCATTGTTATTAGCTAGTTCCAACAAAAACCGCTATAGATAGATAGTTTTATCAAGTTAACCGTTCGTTACATCACATTAGTATTATATACCTATACTAACGTTTTCTATCTGTGATTACTTATTATTAGTCACTATTTGTTCGGTGTCCTTGCTACAACTTTTATTTTAGTCATAAACTTTATCTTACTTTATTTAATCGTACTCCACGTTTAAAACCTTTATTCAATTAGTTCCTTTTTAATAGGCAACACGATATACACGCACACCACAGATTACATAAAACACAGAACACTTTCGAACGATGTCAGTCGCGCCATCTGTCAAATAAAGGTAAAAGGTTTTATTTATTATTTACAGATAACAGTTATTTAGTAGTTTCTTCTGTTACATGGCCTCTTGCTATATGATCATTTAATTGGTAAATATTTTATTAAATAGAAACTTCGTAATAAAAAGAAGAACTGTTAAATGTTACATTTTGGTAAGTACCTGATATATTTTATTTGAGGCCTAAATTTAAAATGAGAATTCATCAGTTCAACTTCATAATTTTTATTCAACAAATATTAATGATGTAACACAAGCTTAGAAAATACGAAACACAATATATTAAATAACATCAAACATTACGCTTTCTTCATAACATGTTTCTAGAGCTACCTACAATTACAATTTCTTAGTTAATGCACAGCTCGTCTTAGAGCCCTTGCTCTGACATTGGCCAACGTTCTGAATACAATCCACCTGGACAATTTAGGCGAGATGCTTTTCAACAGATTAATCGTATCGACTAACAAACTGTGCGGGTAGTAGCCGGTCGTTTCTTCTTTAATTCCGATAGTTCTAACAGCTTCTTTGACATAAGTTAGAGGCGACGGAGCCATCCAAGTGGCGTTCCTGATCATAGACATATTGGTGGCTACATAACCGGGCAAGATGCACTGCACGGTTACGCCGAACTTGTGGTACTCGTAGCCCAAGTCCTCGGAGAATTTGAGCACGTAAGCCTTCGAGGCGGAGTACACGCTCAAAAGGGGATTGGGTATTTGAGCGGCGGCCGAGGAGACGTTGACGACGACGCCGCGGCGGCGCTCCACCATGCCGGGCATGACGATTTTGCACATGTTCGTGACGGAGAATATGTTGCAGTTGATCAGGTTCGCGAAGAATTCGTCTTTGTTTTTGACGTCCAGGAAGTACTCGGGATGGTGGTAGCTCATGCCGACGTTGTTCACTAGAACGCCGATGTCCAGGCCGTTCAGTTGCTTGTCCAGATCGTGGTAGATTTGTTGGGTGTCGGTGAAGTCCGCTACGAGAGTCTTGAATTCTACGGTTTTGTATTTTTCGCCTGATAACAAGAATTAGTTAACGATGCGGTGAAACGGAATTAATTATATTCATACCTAATTCTTTCGCTACTGCTTCAAGTTTGGACAGCGTTCTGCTGATGAGGACTACATTTAATCCTTTTTTGGCTAAAATTTCGGCGTAGGCTTTTCCTATTCCATCGGTTGCGCCGGTTACCACTAGAAAAAAAATTGATTTAATTGTAAGTTTTGATCAAGCATTTCGTAATAAGGCGCATGCAAATTTTCTTGTGGCCTTCGGAATTTGTAATATTTACGGACAGAAAAACTTATCAAAATGCGATAAATTTCGATAAGTAAAGCATTTACCTAATCCTGGTCAGTAAAATAATAGAAAATTCATTAATAATGAATGATGAACTTTATGGGTCAATGATGAATCGCCGAATAACAAGTAAATTAACGAAGTAAATGCGACTGGAATGAATCTTAAATATTCAATTTTTTTACTTTAACGTTGATGATTTTGTTTTTTCCCATGACAATTAAGTAAATACGTGCCTACGAACTAAAAAACATTAAAATGTTTCCATTTAATTGAATTGTAACATAACAATGGAATGGAACAATTAAAAGCTTTTAACATTTTAATATTCTTGCAGTAAATTACATTGTTGGGCGTCCTTAATTATAATTTAATTTCAACATTTTGTTATCATCAATCGTGTATTATACTTGGTAGATATTAAAAAATCATGCTATAATTTTTATTTAATGATTTTTAACAAATTCCTTTAACAATCAAATGTGGACTTTAAATTCTTTTTTGTTAATTACAGTAATAGATAAGCCAATTAAATAACAGTTAAGTAAAACATATTAATGATAAAAACTAAAAAATTACTACTTCACAAGAATTTAATTCAATATATCTAGATTCTATTACGCACTGTTATAGAGGAAGAGATATTTACAGTTAATATTTTCTATGAATATTAATAACGGTTTGTAAATTATTAGGTGACAATACAACGGCTTTTTACCTTAATGAACAAAAATGTTTAAAATTTTAATTTGGCCTGGTAAATTTCATTTTGACATATGCATTTAAATATTTTATAAATTTATATAAAAATTGAAGAAACGCTTTTTTTCAAAAAAATTCATTACGAGCGAAAGTACTAGATTTAAAAAAATTTACTTACCAGCCCATTTTCCAGTCTCTTTGAGATTGATAGAGTTGATTTGCAAGGCGACATTCAAAAAGTTATTGTAAATGTACGAAAATAGAAATCGGATAATTTGAAAACCTACGATGAAAGTGCACACCAAAGATAGTTTGCTAACGAAACAAATTCCTTCTTCCTCCATGACCGACAAATAACTATATCCAGGAGCATAAAAAAATCCACTAAAAATTGTTTCAACTTATTCAAACAAACGCGCAGCCGATTGTTGTTCCGTATAACAATTCCGTTTTGGATTCACCGATTCGACGGGCGTGCGCACGCTCCTCTCACCCCTTTCTACTTTTCATCGATTTGGAGAAATTTTTTATAGTGCGGTCGATGTCTTCGAAAAATTACCAACTCGCGCCAATTCGGTTTTCACCTTAACGCGCTCAAGATGAAACGAACTTTCTCCGCAATTTTCTAATTAGGTAAGCATATTTTGACCAGGCAATTACATCAAAAATTTTAGCAAAAGTCAGAGCTTGATGATACAAAAATTATCTTGGGGTAAAGCTGGATGGAGGAAATAGGGGGAAAAATTTTATTATTCTATTAATTTCTTCCTTATATTCCTTCTACCTAAACTAATACCTTTTTCCGCTATAAAGGAATTAAATAATAAAAAGGATGTAGGAAATTTATAAGATAATTTTTGTACAGTGATAAAATTTATGTTGGTTGGATTTCTTCGAGACATTTACCGCACTATATCTCCGATGGTTCTTCTGCGGTGAACTTTCACTGAGGCCACAATTTAAAAATTTCTTTTATTATTAGACGTTGAATTCTGATAGCGCCTGTTATGTGGTTTAGGTAACTGTATAACAAGTACCGTATAGATATATGAAATAATTACATGGAATTTTGCGAGCTGTAGTTTGAACTTCTTATCGCTCTTGCGTATTATCCTTATCGCTTAATGATAATTAAAAATGATCAAGGTTTATGTATTATTTTTAGTAGGTAATATGTTTACAATTATTACGGGGTATTTTCAAAAAATGATTTTATTGTTAATTGCACAAATTGGAGCTAAAAGTTAATCTAATAATTTAATAATTTCATTACGATTTTTTGATCAACTGATTTTTTTAACCCTTGGTAATAAAAAATGGTAATTCCAAAAATGTTTGCGTTTCTGCTTTATTAAATAATAACAATTGAGTTTATTAAACTATAGCCTACATTATTATATTTAATTATTCTATTAATTAATTGCTTACTTAACATAAAATTAATTTTAAATATGACGCTAAAGCACACCTAGTCATAGACCATAATTTATATTTAATTCTTCTCTTTTTTTTAATATTTGATAACCTGTTAAATACAAAATATGTTGGAGCTACATGATAATAATGAACCTATGTTGCCAGTTTCATTGATATTTTTTTTTATTTCCACTAAATGCTACTTAAATACACCTTTTATTTGTTTTCTTACATTCAAAAATGCTTAATTTTAAATATGTTCGTATTTATTCTAATATAATCTTTATATAAATTGCAAAATATCCCTAAAGAATTTTTTGACAGTTGACAACAGCGCTTCACGAACCGCTTGTGCGATTAACGATTTCTGACGTTTCATTATTTACATAGAGTTGAGTTGTCAAAAAATAATGTAATCGAAATGTTTTCAGATAATCGCAAACTCAAAAAGAAATAATATAATGAGCGTATGACACAAAGGATTTCTCTTAAAGCCTTAAGATAAGACATTAGCCAGATAAGCATATTTTAGATACAAATGATTGACCAAAAACATATCCTTTTTTAATCATATTTTTGTGAAAACTTTTATGAATCATTTATAATTCGGACGGTGAGTAAGTTTATTATTAAATAGATTGTCGCACTAAATTCGCTACGTTTAGTAGTAAGATGGAGAATGGGCACAACGCGAAAGACAGGAACAAAGACATCAATTGGTCGAGATTCGGATTGGGGAACGAAGCTGTGGGAACCAGAGCAAACACCAGTGGATTTATAGATCTATCGAACGACTATGCAGCTGGAGGACATCAAGCTTCCAGTGCAAACGAACTGTTCGCCGAAGAACAAGTAAATATCGCACTTTTCCCACCATCCCGCTCCATATTATGTCACTAACCACATAGTAAACACATTCGTTATATTCTGCTTTAGGGAGACGTGCCTTGGTGGAAATCTAATTTTTTTATATCCCAACCTGTATTATTCGGAACATGGGACGGTGTTTTCACTTCCTGCTTGATTAATATATTTGGGGTGATTGTATTTCTAAGATCCGGATGGATAGTTAGTCAAGCTGGGATAATTAGTGCAATTGTTATTGTTCTGTTTTCAGGTATTTAATATTAATCTTAAAAACCCTTCAGGCGCTATTATATTTGTAACAACGAATCTTAGAAGGAATTAATGAGGATTTTGATGTTTTTTTTTTCAGTGGTTACTGCACTAATTTCCGTGTTATCTGCTGTTGGTATATGCGAAAGATGCAGAATAGAAAGCGGAGGAGTATATTTTGTAGTAGCACATACTTTGGGATCGCGATTCGGAGGCTCATTAGGGTTGTTATACTGTTTCGGACAGGTAAATTAGAACAATCCACCTAGAAATCATCAATAACTAACATTGTTTTAGGCCGTAGGTTGTGCATTGAACGTCCTGGGTTTCGGCGAATCCATGGCCGAATTAATAGGCCTAGGCAATTCGAAATGGACGGTTAGAGTGATAGCCATGGCAGCTGTTTTCCTTTTGAGTATTATCAACGTGGCCGGTGTCAAGTGGGTGATCAAACTGCAGTTCATTCTGCTGCTCATCCTGCTATCAGCAGGTCTCGATTTCATGGTAGGGAGTTTCGTACACACCGAAGAAGGTAGCTACATCGCACCCAATACACAATTCTTTTCTAATCGTTGGCGTTTCAGCGAAAGGTTTCACCGGCTGGGTCAGCGATAACCTAGCGAACAACATGTGGTCGAATTACACGGAAGGCTACAGTTGGTTCACCGTTTACGGCGTGTTCTTTCCAACTATCACTGGTGTTCTGTCTGGAATAAACATGAGCGGGGACCTGAAAGCCCCGTCTACGAACATCCCTAATGGAACACTAGCCGCAATAGCCGCTGCGACGTTTCTCTACCTCGTATTCGTGATATTCCTGGGCGCTACTTGCACGAGAACGGTGCTTCTGAACAACTTCATGATCGCCGAAGATGTATCGGTGATAGGAGTGCTGTTTTTAGCGGGGTTGTACGTGTCGTCGATGTCGAGTTGTTTGGGTGCGATGTACGGTACACCTCGAGTACTCCAATCGATCGCCTTGGAAAACGTTATACCAGGAATGGGCCCTTTAGGGAAAGGAGTACGCTATTATAACGCGATTTAAGTATATGTTAACAATGAATCGTTTCAGAGAGGTCCGAATAAAGTGCCTTTGTATTCGATGGCCGTGGTGGCTGTTGTGACGTTCACGTTCATCTTCATCGGCGAAATAAACACGTTGGCTCCCATCGTTACGATGCCTTTTCTGCTTACTTACGCTGCTATAGATTACGCTTACTTCGCCTTGGCGCAAACCTTCGATATACAGCATCAGAGGGAACAGAGATTCCACCGTCCGAAAGTCCAATACAGCAGCGACGACAGCGATTTGGATCGCTTGTTTCCCGAACGCACGAGGCATAAAGTCCTGAGGGTTAGTCTCGTCGCGATTCGTTCGTGTAGTGCTTTAAAGCGTTGAAATTTTTAGGGTGAATCGAGTTCGAATTCGATAAGCAGCCCGGAGGACAACAGCGAACACACTCCCATATCTCCTAAAATAAACATACACTCTAAACAGAAAAACTGGTACTCCAATTTGTGTAACAGATGGTTGGCGTTGTTCGGTGTAAGCGAATCGATTGATTCCGATGAATAGATAAAGTGTGCTGAATGCGCGTTTGTTGTAGGCCGCCTTGAAGATCTGCATAATGCTGTTAGTGAACTGGTACTACGCCCTGACGTGCATGAGCGTGGTGTTTTTAGTTTGGTTGTACATCGGTACGGCGAATCCGGCCGTTAAACCGGGCCTGGCGTCGGAGTTTCGCTTCTTTCCTTGGATCAAAACGCTCGTGCTAAGATTATTGGGGTGTGCAGTTAACGTATTCGCTTGAATTCGGGTTTAATTTTGGTTCGGTTTCAGGCGAAGGGTGACGGATTACGAACAAATCGTCGTGACTCCCGTGCATCCGGGAATGGACGTGACTTCGTCGCAATTGAACGAGGATAATCAGGATTTCGCGAACAGAAGGCGGTACCATCAATCGGCGACCGTCCACGGCCACATTGTCGCCATTGACGATTGACAGATGACACGATTCTTTGAAATTACGTAAAGGAAATTACTTGCGAACAAAGGTTTGATCAAATCGGTGACTATAAACTTGAACTTGATACATTCTATGTACAAGGCCTTAGGGGGTTTCTTTTCAATCAAATTCGTTCGAACTTCGCTTGTCACAATCGACAGGTAGCTTGATTTATAAAACGAAGATACTAGCTATGATCTTTAATGGTAATATACATAAAGAATGAAATCGCGTATTATAAAGTCAAAGCTACTTGATTTCGTTATTACTGAGAAGTTAATTTATCTCAAAAATTGTTCAAAATGGCGTTCTGTCAGTTTTTGTAATTTTTAATTTGTGTTTTGTTAGACTTAATTTAGGTCGTTTTTACTTTTTGGCAGGTGCAAACCGAGTCGAACAAAGGTATGAATTTTATCATTTAACTATTTTTTTAGAAAGTTAACACAAAAATTATGCACAAACTATTATCGTTTATAGTCACCTGGAATAAGTGCTATTTTCCGTCTATTATCCAAAGTAATAAGTCTGCGCAGTTATAATTCAATGATTTGTTTTATACAGGTAAGTGCAAATTTGTTTGAAATATGGTCAATTCTATGAGTTGAACAAAGATAAGATAAAAAATAACAGTGATAAGAGTGAGAAAGTGGCTATCCCACAATATCTATCTTTTTAAATTTGCACTTATCTGTGTACTTCTGTAAAGGCATTCTATTCTACAGTCCATAATTTTGCTTCTGTTCGCTTGCATTCGTCCGTCTGGGCCGTTATTTATTAATTTTTCAATTAGTTAAAGCAACAATTAGGAGTCAATTAAACGCTAAATTATAGGTGTATAAAAACTTTTACTGATTTCAAAGTTACTGATTACTACTTAATAAATTAATTTGTAATTACTGTAAAATAAAAAAAATAAACTGTATTTTTGCAATATACTAATTTTATTAAATTATTAATTTATTAAGCGATTGGTTTTTATTCACACGTTTCTATTTAGGGTGATTTTTTGTCGATTTTTCTAACCTTAATTCTGTCCCTATCGTAAATTTCTCTGGATCATATATCAAAACATTTTGACATGTGAATGTACTATTCTTTACGCACTTAAAGCCATCGGGGATTTATAAATGACATCGAAATTCGAATGAGAATAGAGAGAGCATAAATATTTTCCGATCTCCGTGCGTCCATTTGAATTTATCAATTTTTCATTCATTCTTCGGTAATGCGAGATGTTGGAGGTTACTCAACCCGCTAATAATTTAGAATTGAAATAGGCGATGGGTGGGTTTAGGCAAGCGGTAGAAACAGAAGCCCAGAACTGGGCCCGCTACGAAAAAAAGGAAATAATTTGATAATGCAGTTGCCAAATTGAAGGATCTGTCGGCTAATTTCGTTTGCAAATTTAGTCCGGCAACTGCTAATTTCGATAAAAAGTACGAAATTTTATATTTCCATTGAACAAAATGCAAATGATGTCGTGTAAAATTGCAAACAATTTGCAAATTTAACGCATGCACTGTGGAGCTTTAATTATATTTAAATAATCTATTATTATTGGTTAAATGGGTATGTCGACTTCCAACCGCGGACAAAACTTCCAGAGGTTCCCATACAATTAGGAATTACGCAAAAACGCGATTTATAATTACATCAGTTACATCCATTTCGAGAAGCAAAAACACTTCAATTATTCAGCAGTGATACGTAATTTTTGTGCCATCGAATAATTGTGATTTCACCCATTTTGCTTCATCTCCATATATCGAACACAGGATCGGATTTCACTCACCTTAACATATCATTCAATACCTAAGTAATCTATTTTTTATTCAAAAAAACTCATCTTTAGCGTTAAATGAATAAAATCCCTATTTCTTGAGGAGTTCCTAAATTTCTCATTTTTCCCGATAATCAGTGGATTTATCCGAGTCCTGGCCTGGCGCCTGACAGATATGCCAAATTATACGATCGTCTGAACGGCTGCTACTTGGCTTCTTTATTTTATAGAAATAAATTGCCCCTCTACACTTACATTTACGAACGATAACACTTAAATACAATAGACAAATTATATATCATTTATCGGATGAAACTCTCGGAGCTCTTAAAAAACCCGCGACGAAACAGCCGCACGCAACAAAAAATAGTAATTAGAAAAAAATGTTGGCGTATTTTTTGGTATTTCACCAATTATGTAGTTTGGCGCACCTAATAATTTAATAACTCGTCGATAAACTTTCCCAATACGTACGAAATTCGTTTCTCGAAGATAAAAAACCGCTCGACGTCCACCCTAGGCGGTTGCTTTTTTATATTTCAACCCGGATAACGCGGACTGTTCCTGGTCTTTCGGACGGTTTTTATGGGGGTGTTTGTCCATCAATTCCGCGGATAAAGCTTGAGTGAAACGTCAAATAAAACCGTTTTCAATATGCATCGCCGAATAATATGAATTGTCAGCTTACATTAGGATTTATAAGGGTCGAATTTTGTACAAATCCCATGTCGATTTGACTCGCCACTACTTTAAGGGTCGCACTTGCGTTGTTTCGAAGCAAAAATCGCTTACTTGCTTTGTTATTTTCTGGATTTTTCATAACTATTATTATACGAATTTGTGTTGCTTTTAATAGAAGTGGGTACGAATGTTTTATTCAGTGGCGTTTAAACGAAACCCATAGCTTTAACATGATTAATTCCGAACACACAAATAAAACACGAAATGTAAATATCGGTGAAAGGGATCGAAGAGACCAGATAAAAGGGAACAAACAGGGACGTACACTCGAAAGAATTTTAAGTACTATTTAATGCAATTATTATCAATTTAACTCAAAATTATTTAAAGTTATCGACAAGTACTACCATCGATTGAGTGGTATGAAAAGTGTTACTAATGATACTAATAATTCGTGATGTGGTAGATTAGTTCTATTGAGCACGTTTATGGAAAAAAAAGGGGGTTGTTATGGATACAAATAAAACAATTTCCCGGTTTTCAATAAACCGAAGTAACAATGACTGTATATTATTCCGAAGAGCCCCGGAATCAATCCATCTTATGGTCAAGGGTCATTTTTCCCGAAAAACTTGCATCCCCGATCGGGGCGGCTCATTTACATTTCCAAAAGAGATCCGGAGGCACAATTAAACCAGCGGAGCGGAGAAGATGCGGCATTTTGATTAGCGAACCACGCGCCATGACACGGCTGGAACAGTGAACATTCCGAATTGAACACTGGATTGTTTGTATAACATTAAAAGTTCCATTCATGTGGAACAAAACACCAGGAGGACGCTGCCACGTTTCATTTCCATACATTTCTACCTATCCGTATAATACAACTCTACTGATGTGTATATAAGTTGGTTTCGTTTAATTACCTAAAATTGTAATGAGGGGTCTTGATGGAAATCAAAATCTTTGTATACACCTATCTTTTTTATTACAAGGTATGATTAATTTCCACAATTTATCCAACCCTAAATATCCCTATCGATCATTATGCTAATGAAGGGTAATACGAAAATAATGGTAATGAAAACACAGTTGCTGATGGTCGATCGACAATTTTTTTTCCCATTCGGCTCTGTTATTAGTTAACGAAGTGTTATAAAACAATATATCTCTTGATGAAAAATTAAAACGGATTCAGACAGTATCCAGTGGTGATTGAAAATGAATACGCCCCCCCGGAGACAAAGTCTTGCCTGCCCCCCCGTTGTAAGTCACACAGGTTCATTATTTACCGGGCGGACGGGCCCTTTGCGAAGTCCGATCGCCGGACCGGGAGGGGGACAGGTGGGGCCCAGCTCCGTCCTTCAAGGTCACTAAGTAGATCGCTATTGAGCCGATTTGAATAGAGAATAAAAGTGCCCGGGGGTCTTGTATCATCGACATCGCTGAAATTTATGTTCGGCCAGCGTCGCCGACGCGAACGGGCCGCGATGATTGTTTTTTTTGTGTGTTTTGTGTTGTTTTCCTCCCTGCGATGCGAAGGTGCAGGGGTTGATTCCGGCGATTTTTCAAGCCGTGTAGAAGTTAAGCCACTTTGGCGAGAGTTGCGGTTGCGGGCTTTCGAAATCGATGTCATCAGCCGGGATGATATATAAGCGGCGATATTTTCGTCGGACAGTGGACTTTAGCTGAGATGGTATCAGCAGCTTCCGTAATGTTCACTCTTGCCTTGGAAGTTGGGTTATTTAGGAGCCTCGCAATCTGATTTATAATTTATATTGATATTCCGTGCTATCTTCCAGAGCGCTAGCACCGATGTCATTTCGGTTATTAACTGCCGACTCCAGGGGCCAAGCGAATAAACACAATATCGATCTCTACATGTATCTTTTTTTTTTCTTCTTAAAATACTCTTCCTTTTAGGCTTGTTCAGAGAAAATGAAATGTCGATTTGGAGAATTTCGTGTATTGGAGGTAACTACTTAGAGTGTGCATTTTAAATTATGAATAAAAAGCTTCAAATTTGTATTAATTTCATCATCAGCAAATCAGTGGAATCAAAAATTCTTTAGCAAATCAAAAAATACAAAGAAACAGATTGATTATATTATCATTCCACATCATTTATATTTCCTTTACACTAAAACATTTCTTGTCAAAATTTAATATGAATCAAGACCACCCTGTAACATTGATAGGTTCGGGCGAGTTGGAGATTTGTCCAATATGTGGCGCTGCCTGTCTGTATATTCCTAAATATTAAATACCGGTGTATACTACATAAGGATTTTATTGGAATTATCTATTCCACGATTTATGGGCTTCTTTTAAAAATAAACAGCTTTTTAGATTAAGTATAAACGAGGGTGAGTGCAATTTTAAGGTAAAATTTTGGAGGCAAAAAAATGAAAAATCGCAGTTCCAATTAAACAAATTTATTACTGCAAATTTTCCTTACTCGAGTAGAAAATATTCATAAGTTGTAGAATTGTTTCTATAGATTTTTTTTGAATGAAAAGAATCCCTAAAAAGAAATTTTCTAAATGGATATTCTCGTTATTTCGGGAAATCGTTTAGGTTTTTTCCTCGGTCTCAAATGCTGCGAATACTGTTTATTATCGTAATGTCAACAAATGGAGACAAAGGAAAGGTGTTTATTTTTACGTTCGGAAATCGTCCTGGCTTATATTTAGTTTACATTCAATAAAAAAAAATACCGATGACTACCTACAGAAGCAGTTGATATATCTGCCGATGTAAATATTTTTTTTAAATGTAACACCTCCGACGATGTTATTTTAGAATTCGCATGACACAGAAAGAGGTATAATTTAAATAAAAAACCATATTACGACAGCTATAAGTTTTTAATATGCCCAAAAGGCAAATACATGTTTTGTTTAACTGTACATTGGATCTTGAATACGCAATAACAAATTACATTTACAGATATGCTCGAGGAAAAAATAAGTTAATGAGCAGTCATCCACACCTGATTAAATTTGGAACTGTTGAACTGTTGAACTGTTGACTTGAAGATATATCTAACATTGTAAATGTTTCGTCAATATTTTTGGTAAATTTCGGATGCTGTTCGAGGTGTGGTTGGATGCTTTATTTAGAGTTACATTAGTCATTTTCATTGTGCAAGATTAAAAATTGTACAAAAAATAGGCGCATGTAACCCTTGTAAAATATTTTTTTTAGAAAATTCTTTTCGTATACATTGAGAACTTGAATAATTTAGGTACCCTCTGGTTATAACATTGTTGGTATATCTATATATACAACTATACATTTACAAGCAATTTAGCATATTTACAAAGTTATTGCACATTAAATATACATTTTTTTTCCATAACTAACTTGTATCACCAGTAGAATATTTGAATTAATTTCAAGAGGGATTACATCAACTATTTGTAAGAATGAGTTTAAGCGACACGCATTTTGATAGATATGAAAATTTCGTTTGCCGAATCTCCAGAATTCAATGAGCATTTTTAATTATACACATTCATTTTTGCAGAGGGAAAAATCACAACTTAAAGAGATCAACTAGACTAAACAGTATTTACACTTTGAGTATTTTCAAGACTGGCTAAAAAAAAACAATAAAACAAAATAAAAATAAATCTCTACTAAATATAATAATAAAGTGTGCAGGTTTTTCTTAATAAATAAGCATACGGAAACTGGCTTCAAAAATTTGAAAAACTATTCTATAAATCACATAAAAAACGACACTTAATCGACACCCTTTTTCTAATTCCGGCGATAAACTCGGTAGTAAAACATACAGCTATACCCACATTGTAGCTATTTTTTCACTCAACTTTATCGACTGAATTCGTTGCACCAAAAACTTCCAACCATCATCGATTAAGATACTTATTAACAATTTCCACTTTTATTTTTATAAGAATTCGGTAAATTCATCAACATTTTCTATCTAATCATTGACTTTCATTGTACAGATAAATTTATCTGTATTATATACAGAATAAATTGTTCGATATCAACCAGTTCTAGTACAATTTCACCGAGTGATTGGCGAGGTAATAATGAAAATTCCTAAACAATTAAAGCAATAAATTTGTGTCCCTTCCTCGAAGCCTAATGAAAAAAAAAATATAAGAAACTCGTATAGAGGAAGTTGTAAATCAATAAAAACTTGCGATTAGGTTGTATCAATCGTTCACAAAAATTAATTACAACGTAAAAAAAAACCCGTATTGAACGTCTCACCGAAGAAACTGAATTTAAAGCTCTTATTGTTGCAAATAATAGTATAAACATTAATGGACGGAAACGAATAAAATCAATCACCAGACGAACCTCTCCACAAACCTCCCCGAACGAAAAAATTTACCAAACCCTTACAAATCGCAACAAAAGCGAACGGCCCTTCGACATGTAGGTACTCGAATAGATCACCACCACAGCGACAGCGGAATCGCGCTAAAGTCCAAAACGTTTTTTAACGGTCACGATTGCTCGGCGTCCCTCGACGGCGGATTCGCGTGGAGCGATTCATTTTCGGCGTGGACGTTCCGCCTCGTCCGCGACACGAACACTTTGGGACAACCCATCACAGTACATTTGAACATTTCGGCCACGTGGTGCTTCTCGCAGTGGTCCTTCAGCTGGGCGGCGGCCGCGAAGGCGGCCTTGCACAGCCGGCACGGCAGCTGGCCCTCCTTGTCGGGCGTCGGCAGGTCCTCCTCGACGCAGTGGACGTATTTCGTGGGGGCGGGCGAGAGGTTCGCCGGCGGCGGCGACCCGGACAGCGGCGAGTTCGACGTCGACGAGCGCTCCTTGTGCTGGCCGGCCGACAGCGAGCCGTTGAACTGGCCGAAATGGTTGAAGTTTCCTATGGGGAACGGCAGGGCGCCGAGCGGCGGCAGCAGCAGCGGCGGGTGAGGTAGTCGATCGCCGTTCAGCATCAGCTGGTCGAGATTCGGCGGCGGCAAGTGGTGGCCCTTCAGGGCTTCTTCGGCGTAGAGGCGCGTGAGGAAGTCGCCGTGCAGGGCGGGATTCGCCAGCGAAGCGAACGCGGATTTCTCCAAAAACAAACTGGCCGCACTCTTGTCGGAAGTCGTCGAGAGTAATTTTCGATGTAGATTCAAATTAGCACTATGCCTGTCCCTGCTTCTTTTAGAAGGAAACGCCGCGTTGCAACCATCCACGTTGCACTTGTGCATCAACTTCAAATGCACGTTTTGGTAATGCGTTTTGACGCCGAAGTGATTCTGGAAGATTTTTCCGCAAGCAGTGCACCGTCTCGGATTATCTTTATCCACCGGAACGTCTACTCCGCTAATAAATTGCCCGTTGTCGAAGTGCCCGTACAAATGTTGACTGCTGTCATCGGGAGAATCTCTCCCGTTGCTGCTGCCGCCGGAGGAAGTTTGCGAGCGCGCCGGGCTCGGCGGTCCCGCTCCCATCATGAAGCCCAACGGCGGAAACGCCGGCGGTTGACCTCCCAAACCCAGGTGCAAACCCCTGGCCATCAGATCGCTGAAGTGCCCGTGCGACAGACTCTCCAATTGCCGCAACGGATTGGTGGAGTCGAAGGACTCGTCGCTTTTGTTGCTTCCCATCGAACTAGCGGGCCTTTCGTCCAATTCCTCGGCGTTGTCTACATCGTGCGTCGGTTTCTCTTTCTTCAATTTATCTATCGTAAACAACGGGGCTATGCTGGTTTTTATTTCGTTGGACACCGATTTCTCGGTGTCGTTGGCGTTCACGTCCGGACTCCTCTTGCCTAAATCTAATGGTGACTCGTCGCATACGTCTAAATCTTTTTTGGTTTCAACAGGTACTGGCTCAATGCGCGGATCGTTTTTCTCCATCTTCTCTTCCTGCTCGTGCTTCACGTGGTCGGCTAGCCGCTCGGAGAAAACGTCGTTGGAGGAGTCCCCGTCGCTCGCGGCGTCTTCCATCATGACGGGCACCGCGCACCTGGTAGGGTTTTGGCTCTTGCGCTTCCGCTTGTTCACCTGGACGCTCGGCTCGTCTTTGAGGCTGTGGGCGTCGACGACGCTGAGCGAATCTTCGTTGCTGTCAATATTGCTGGCCACGTCCTCTTCGGCGTCCGATACGGACATCTTCTGCTTCTTAGCGGGCATCACTAAATCTTCCGGGGCGTCTTGAACGCCGTTGTCGTTGGTTCCGTTGGTTTTGTCTTTCTTGTCGAATTCGTCGTCCTCATCGCCGCCTACCATAATAATACCGTCATCATCGTCGTCGTCGTCGGATTGTTGGTGATGGTGGAAGGAACTAATCGCCGCGTGGTCGTGGTACGAAACCTTGCTCTCTTTCATTCGTTGTATACTAAGATCTAAGGTTTGCTTGAAATCCATCGAAGGAAGAGGGGGATATTTGATGTCAGGCGGTGGAGTGAGAAGAGGGAAGGGTCCGAACGGATTAAGGGAACCGAGAGCGCCAGCAGGAAGAGGAAGCCCCGGCTGAGGCGGGATGAGAATGGGATGTGCTTGGGCGCTTCGCCCGTCGTGCGGCGATATTTTCCGCCGGAGGTGCGGCGAATGCAGCTTCGGGTTCGGGTTCGCGCTGTGGCGGTTGCGCGACCTCCTCGAACTGAACATCATGTTGCACCCTTCGACCGTGCATTTGTGCATTTCGCGCAGATGCACGGCGGAAAAGTGGATTTTCAGAGCGCCTTTGTCACAGAATGTCTTTAGGCAAACGTTGCATTGAACTCGCTTTTTACCCGTAGCCGGATTTATGAACTGGGTACCGAGGTTGATCGGTATATTCGGCGAACCCCACGTTCGTTTCGTCGGAGTGGACGGTTTTCTACCCGGTAACATTCGCGTTTGCTTCGGAATTTTGTCCTTGGTTAAATTTAACGCACTATGCGAATTTTCATCGCCGTCATCGTCCTCTTCACTATTGGTATTTCCGGTACTCAGAACGTCCGCGTTCGACGGAGATTTACTCCTAGTCGGCATCCGCGTCGACATCAAACCCGGGAAGGTGTTGGCTACTAAATTCACCATCGCTACAGTGGAAGGTGTCAGAGAGGTAGTGGCGGCGGGCGGCGGAGGCGGCGGCAGACAAGAAGCTATCGAACTCGTTCTGCTGAGGTTCAATCCCATCGTCTCGTTCTCGGACATCCTCCGCCGTTCCGGGCTCAGTCGATTCGGCGAGAAGGCCGCCAGGCCGGCGCCCAGTTTTCTGAAATCGAACGGCTGCATGTTCTGCAGGCGGTTCAGCGGCGACGAATTCAAAGGGGCGTTCAGGCTGTTCGGCGGCGAGCCGGCCGACATCGGCCCGTTGTGGGGCAGGCTGATGAAGTTGAGCGAATGCTTCTGGTGCGGCGACATCGTCACGGTCGATTGTAACCTGGTCGGGTGGAAGGCGGACGCTGATAGAGTCGTCGGTGACGGTCGATGGTTCGGCGACATCGCCCGACGTGGGTGAGGCGAGTGGTGACGCTCTAGGCGCTCCAGCGTGGGTTCCTGAAGGGCCTGTTGCGCCAAAAGCAATTGCTGCGTTATGGCTCTGGTTTCGTCGAACCTGAGGAACTGTTGGAGGACCAGAGGTTCCTCCTCAGGAGTACGGAAGCGCCATCGGTCCAGAGTGGTGCCGTGCAGTGGGTTCGCTGGAACAAATTATCCGAACGTCATTCAAACAGTTTTAATGTACTCTTTGGGCGAGTAAATCGAAGCGGTTCGCCTTCGCGTTATTTCAAAACGCGAATGTAAAGCTTTTAAAAATATCTTGTAGATTGGAGACCAAAGTGGCAAAAGTTTATATAATAAAGATATCAGCGGCCTTTCAATAATAGACCAGTTTGCACGATAGTGAAAATAAATAAGTGAAATGTACGGAGACCGACATAAAATGTTTATTGAGGACGGTGTATAAAAATATACGCGTTTCGATAGCACTCTTGTTTAGAAATGAAGCCTGCAGAATGTCTCCCGCACGTTTATAAATAAACGGGGTGCTAGTGCTAGTCACCTGCCCCTCTCAACTCCAATCTATGGCAAACAAACACACGTTTCTATTACAAGAGGACGATATTTCGACGTTACCAGGATCGCTTTTCATGCGATAATCAAACTACTATTTATATATGACATTCATTAAACTCTGCCTGTTAGCTGTCTATCGATATAATACGTTTACTTCCAAGCTAATAACTATTTACTTTAACGGATATTTACCGTCGCCGTCGTCCAACTAAATCAATTGATAGTGACATCCTGTTGTCTATAAAAATTAGTAAAGCCAAAAATAATTTCTTACTAATTTTAACAGATATTCCGAAAAGCTTATTACTAGACTTTTCGGTGAAAATATAGAAAAATATACAAAACTATTAAAAAAAAATTACTAAGTAACTCAGTTCGTCTGGTTATAAATATAGCAACACAATCGATATTTAATGGGTGTGAATTTTATTCAATTCAAATTTTACAAGAGACATTGTTTAAACAACGGACCATCATCGATCGAGTCATGCTCGTGAAACATCATGCACCTATACAACAAACACGACAAATTAATCAGCGCAACATTTTTCAAACAAACAAATATGTTGAATTGCACGTTCATATATGCATGTTCTAAAACAAAAAATCATTTACCCATTTCTCCACTTTTCGAAACGCGTTACGTTACGAACTTTCAATGAAATTGCATAGCATTTCGATCTTTAGCCCTGCAGTTAAATAACTGTGATTCTATGAAAAGCGAACCTGCACAGTCAACTTTATTTCCATTCACGCAGTTACATCGTCGGCACTAAATCATCGATAATTGTCAATAAAATTGTCTGGATTTAATTCTAATTAAGGTGATTTAAATTGATAGCTGAAAATTAGTGAGAAAAATAGTTAATGCGTGGGATTCGCTGTTATAAATCAATTTATAGACGTAAACTGGATAAACGGCCTAAATCTAAATGGTGCTTTATTGGATACCTTCGATTTCTTCGAAAGTAAAATTAAAAATCTTTCTTTGTAATTAAAATTAATAATACCCTTATTTTTAATCCACAATTATTTATTGTTAGAATATGTTAATTTCGTTGTTGTATTAGTTATACTGCTAATACCCCCAAATAGCAAATATAAATCCCTTCGTCAGTCTTTTAGATGAGAATTTATAGAGAAATAAATTGTGTAAGATGAAGGGTACAAAGGAAAAACATAATACAAGGAATTACGTGCAGGAATAAATTCATTAAAATTGGGCAGGCAAAAAAATACTGTTTGTTCAACGCTGAAACTCGTCTTATATTTCGTATCATTGTCCAATCCGTGAAATCCAGTTTCTGAAAATAAGATTTTGAAACACGGATTAGGTACGCGTCTTTAGAGTCAACCTAACCAGACTTATTTTACGGAAATTAGCCGAGATTGCTGTCTGAAAAAAAAACCGTTCCCACTAGAACGTAATCTGGCGAGTGAATTGAATTGGATTCTTAAAAAAAAGAAAAACGCGACGACATGCTTTGTTTACTGTGCGTATATAACTAGTAAATTCGATGAATATAATTCCACATTCCGGGTGTTTTCAATTAACTATTTAGATCGGCTCGAACTTTGTGTGTACGAAGTGACTAGATAATTAATTGTTTACCAAAATTTATTATTTGATTAATTATTGGATAAATTCATTTTAATTTAAACTCGATTTTTTACGAGCGCGTTTAAATTTGATTTTTTTTAACGACCGAATTCAATGATTATGTAAATTTTAAATTAATGTTAAATAAGGGAATTAAGAGCCTAATTCGAGTAAAAACACCTACGTAAATTATTGAAGTAGATTTGTGTTATGTAAAAAAATATTTTTGTTAACGAAAAACGGAAGAAGTTGCCACATTTTTGGTGTGGTATTATAGTAGCGATTTTAGAATTTTGCGCGAACGATTATAGAGAAAGAATTACCATTTAATAAGATCCCTATATTATTTAAAAAAGTGTATCATTAAATATCAGAATTCGACATTAGAGCATGGGGGCTATTAAGAAAAGACGAACATAGCAGGCAGAATCCAGATGCTCATTTTCAAAATTATACCTAACTAAAAATTATTGCTTCTCGAAAAAATGATATGCAAAATACTATGTAATTTGAGTGTCTGTGATTCTGACCACTGCATGAAATACCCGGTTGAAACATTTTAAATATTAATAGGGTCCAAAATGCAATCGTGCCAAGACATAGTTTTTACTATGCATTTTGGATTTAAAAAAAAAAAGAAGGTAAAAATTCGCATTCACGATGCTATTGCTATTATGCGAGAGTTGTCATCTCCGGCGTAATTTTCGTAATTATTTGTCCATTGAAAGAGCGACGGGATCTAATGGACGGTTTTCATCTAACGTAACACTTTGTGCTTTAAGAAAGCGCTTTTTTTTTCATTTCTAATAATGATCTATCAGAACATGTGTCATCAGCGGTTCTGAAATTACTTTCAGTATGACTTTTAACGTCGTTATTATTATTGTCAATTTAGTTAATAGCACGAAAGCACTCTAATAAAGATGAGTTGTTTTGCTTTAAATATAATTTTTTTAATAATAACGTGCACCCAACAAAAATGTGGGTATATAGGTAGGTGGCAATTATTTCGCATTCAAATCTCTAATTTATACAATTTTATAAATTATTAAACGCAAAAACCGCAAGATGATATAATTAAATAATAGAAGGTTGAACTAAAACCACCTATATTTATATTTATTTATGTATGTGAAAATGTCTTAATCCACGCGACTTCCTTCTACCTACTGGTTATTTAGGTTGTTTCGATTTCATCTCCAGAAACTGCCTGTTCGCCGGGACTGTTTATTCAATTGAAACAATTTATTTGTATTATAAATTAGCATCTCAGATTCTGTTTACACCGCTGTGTCAATAGGATGTTTTCCTTTTCCCACAAATTGGATTCATGACTTTCCTTCTGACGACACCTCTATCCAATTTCCAGATAGATATTAACGCGCCTATTTAAAGAACCCTGTTTGTTTTTTCAAGAAAATCGCCAATAACAAGAACAAAAATTCCGAGCTCTTTTTTTTATACAACAACGTTCAAATTCGATATTACAGACTTAACGATTTCATTTGGAAAAATGCTAGATTGAGAAGTTATGTAATTTTGCTGTTAAAAATATCAATATTATTAGTTGAGAGTTAATGGGAAATTGACCAGGGGTGTATTCGCTTAAAATTATAAGATGTTAGTTGGAAAATTTGAATAATTCCAACATAATTGTCGTCAAAATTATAATAACATCCTCATTAATTAACATCGAAAGGAAGTTATTTAGGTATAAATTTGATTCATTAGTAGGTGTTTTTTTTAATAATATAAATATGTTGATTCACAATTGAATTAAACCAATGAAAGGTCAGACGCTCAATTGTCTATTAATTCATTAAACTCGGTTTAATTAATAACACGCCAATTAAACCACTTCACATAAAACCAGTTTTAGTTATTAAAGCTCCGTTTACCGGCTCTAACCTCCATCGCATTGGCCAGTCCTCCGTACCGGAGGGAAATTCAAATTTGCGTATAGCACAGCGGTCAGAATCGACTCAGACGAAAAAAATTTTCCGACCAACATACACCGGTAAAATGGATGGTTTACCTGCAACGTAAATCCCCGGCAAGCAAGCGGCACTAAAATTTATTCACCGAATTTCATTGAGCACACAGAAAAAAAATCACCACAGAACACCGGAACGAGATTCCGGGCGATTTTCCAGCGATGAGCGATGCAGGCCTGCAACAGCCGACTATCCACAAAAACAAAAACGACAACCGATGTCACACGTCGCAGCAGACTGCACCGATTCAGGAGCACTGTTACTGAAGAGATGTCGCATAAGCGAGTTGTCCGAATCCGAGCAGTGGGGATGACAGCGTGCGCACCGGAGGCGGGGCCTCCTTCCGAGGGGGGTTGACAAGGTGGACGTTTGAGTGTAGGTGACGATACCCCTTTGGAGGGACACGCTGTACCCCCTCTGTCCTCCAATCGTCTCCACGTATACTGCACCGTACGTAGACAAAGCGCGACTTATTTATCGCTGGGATTGTTAAGAGAAAGTGGCTCCTTCTTCTTCGCGATTTACTCCTCGCCGAGTTATTGGCATTTTCGTTTGTTGTTGTTCGGCTGTTTATTTTTTACCGGCGTTCTGAATTAATCAAATTGGCTACGAAAATGTTTTAAACCGCGTCGATGCTCAGCCGCGTGGATACCTACAATAAAAACAACAACGAGGTTTAATTGCGCTTGCAGCAATCTATGGGAATGACAGAGATTCCGGAGAATGTCCTGTTAGGGACGAACTGATTGTGGCCGTGTCCGAACGGATTTTCCACGCTAAAGTCGCTGCATCGAATCCGTATCTTCTATCAGGAATAATCAAGAACATTGACATTCGTTTCGTAACATTTGTTCATTTGCTACGACCATAGATAATTGACTAAGAAAAATATACACGTGCAACCGTCACATAAATTACCCATCTTTATTTTATTTTAATACTGCGGTTTTTTATATAATATATATTTTTGATTATTAATGGGCGACTACGGACCTGCCTACTCACCTAACAATTAAATTTTGGTTGACAGTTCCGATTGAATTCTCCCCTTTCACTCGCACTTATGCGGAATTTTATATTTCACTCTTTCTAATGAATACTTTGACAGGACAACTGTCAAATTTGGCGGATATGACAACCATTTTGTGGTGACAAGTGCGTAAAGGTGCGTAAATTATTTATTATTTGTTAGGTAATTAAATGCAGTTTTAAATAAACTTTTATGAAGAAATTAGGGATTTACGAATAGACGTTATGTAATTATAGATATCAGTAGATATGTGTTCAAAAATAGTTTAGTGCTTTTAATGAACGTTATAATATAAATCAGTATAGAAGTTGATAAACACTTTTGATGCTTAATTGATCATTGCATTGAATTAACAATTTTCGACTTTTATATACATTAGGTAGGCATCTCATATACGGTTATTAATTGTTGAAAAATTTCGTGGTGAGTAATTTCGTGTAATTACGAAAGACCGCGCACTATATCCCATCTGAAATATAATTTATCTTGAGCTCATTACACTTTCTATGATCAATCTAAATTTTAAATGGGAGATAGTGTCTAGTGCTGTCGCCTCTGTGAAATTACAACAGCCTAATTGATCATTAGGCATTGTGTTTTTTTAATTGATTGTAGAAAAACTGAGACAATTTTAGCGGTAATTTTGAAGAATGAAGAATAATACATTTCATTATATGGTCGAGTTCACGCCGCTTTGATGAACTTAGGTAGTAAGTTACATCGTTCAAAGAGGGCATTGCGATGTGGCGCGTTTTGATTGACAGAGAAATATGTAGTTTTTGATGGTCGGTTAGGAAGCGACGTCTGTTCTGTTTAGATGTTGATTGAATTCCGCCTAAGGCTTATTCCACCCTCGTGAATGTGCTCTAGCCGCCCCCGCGTAAAAATGGAACGGCATCAACCGTATGACCTACTGTTTCTATCTCTCCCCTAATAACCTTTTCGAGTTGAAACAGTCGTAACCCACATAAACAGCTGAAATGCATTGATATAATGCAGCAGTTTATTTTCTGCTCCTCGCTATATCGACGTGTAATGTGATTAAAGATTTTAGACTCGGAAAAATGTATATGAAATTTTTAAAACGTATTCGCGAGCGTATAACTTTTGTTCGGTGGTTTACACAAGGGTAACACTCTCTTTTATATATATACTTGCCTAATTTTAGATTCGTTTCAGTTGGAAATTTGCATACATGTTAACATAACATTTTGGAAATTGAGATAGGGGAAATATATTATATTTGATAACCTTAGAATGTCACATTTTTTCGCGACATGATAAAATGAATTTCCTTTAAATGCACAGTTTATCGGCGAGACCATTAAAAACTGACCTTTTCGGTTGATAGTCCCGTGTATTACAAATATTTTGATGCACTCTAAAAAATCACTGTAAATTTACATAAGTAAATACATCAATTTTAAGGTAAAATTGCAATAATTTTACTGTACTTCCAATTTCCACAGTAATATTCATGAAATTTTACAATTGATTCGGTTTTCTCACACAACGTAAGTGGAACAATACATACTAATCCCAAATATACAATTAATTTGTTGTAAAATAACAAAGCTATATGGATTTCTACATAAACCATGTAAATTATTCCATTTGTTTCGGACTATATTACATAAAATATGTAAAATCACACTAAGTCTGTGATTCAGGCCAATAAGATCATCTCCTGTTGATCACGATGCATGTGACGTAACCGACGCGTACCCCCATCTTCCTACAACCTACAACTTGTTCGATTTTGTTTGTGCGTGGTGGCGTGGTCCAATTTCCAGTTAGCGGTTTGGTGTTCACTATTTTCATATTTAAATAAGTAAGTATATTGAATATGTATACGTGCATATATTGCAATGTAAAGTTTTCGTTATAGGCGTTATAGGCGGTTTCGATAAAGGCTCTAAGGCACAGAAGCCAAGCTTAACAAAAAAAAAGTTATTACGTTTATGACGAAATTAAGAGAAATATGTAGAGAGTGAAGAGATGTATGTACCTACCTACCATTTTTTAAAGTTTTTGTTCCTATGTTCCTTATACGTTTATTTTTGTTCAATAAATTTGTATTTTACATAATGTATTTTATTTTACTAATGAAAGGTACACTTCATTTAATATTTTTTTACATTTATACTTTTACAACTATTGAATCATTTCATTAAAATTTTTTAACCAATCTATATTCTGGTTTAGATCGCAGACATTGGGATATAAGCTTGCAGTTTGTAAACTTAATCCTATTTTTTCAACCATTTGTTAATTTCACACTATTTTTGGGAAATTCGGCTTTTGAGCTTTTGGGAAATTACATATTCGGTTTTTCAAATCATATGTAAATTTAAACTCCATATGTAAACGAAGTTTCACGTGCTCTGTACTATTACACCTCGTATGTATTCAGAATTTACATCTCACTGGTAAATTTACGTATGAATTGTAATTTTACATTACATATGTAATTCAGCTTTTACATTAAAAATGTGACTTTCCACTCCGTATGTATTTTTCAACATTAACTGTAAAATTACCTGAAAGTTGCTGGCATTAAAGATGCCCTGAACTTTCAGGTAAAATTACACAAAAATTTTTTAGAGTGTGCATTTATGCATCGGTAATCGAATAATTTGGTACCAAACTCTCATTTCGTTTAGAGAAATAAACTTTTTTATTTATTTTTACCAGACGAATTCTTTCCACCAATTTCCTCCCATAATAATATCATCAACATGTTGTTTTCGAGTTAGTACATTTTTTAAAAAGCGAAATTCGTTTAGGAAATCAACTTTGCCGTATTTCTCAATTGATTTATCTCCCCATTTTAATTAAATAAGGTGACAAGTTTATAAAAACGTTTTCCAAGTTCGTTTAGCTTCAATTATTTAACTGATAAGCTCAATCATAACCTCGTAATCGGCAATCAAGGATCAAGTGCAATTGTGTTGTTGTAATTTATTTCAGTTGATACTTTGTTTATACACATATACAGAGTGTTTTTGTACGAGAACCGACATGGAAAAATTCGTTTATTATACTCGCATAGGTGTCATTTAATTTGAAAAGACATTTCGTGACTTCTCGTATATACCTAGATAACGACAGGAAAATTACATTAAACAAACATAAAGGATCGTTTGACAATATAAGCCTCCTTCAAATCCTTTTCACCAATTACAAGCCGCATTGTTTCTGCATCTACCTGTAGTAGAATTAACTTCTGCTCTTACGAGAAAAAAAAAAGGATAACAATTACACGACTGATTTACCCGACTGTTTCAAAAACAAGTGTAACAGCCCCATTATTTGTCAATGGTATAGGAATTGTAGGTGCCCTGCTAAGCAATTGTATCCTAATGTATTTATCTTCTTTTGTCGGCGCCCACCCATGTCGCTACGACAATATACAACTGCCAAGAATTGTAGAAGGAACGGTCCTTACGCGAGATCGATATGTAAAACACCTTTCAAATTCGAACGCGGTTTTATTGTTAATATTCAAATGTTGAAATAAAACAGCGCCTTCGTATAAATTATCTAATCAAAAATTGTGTCGATTCGCTCTTTAATTTATACACTGTTTAGTGGTACGAGCGCGACCGTTTTATTTAAGGAATTATAGGGACATAAAAAAAAGAATCTCTCATCAGAAAACTAATTTGATTACGGGCTCTCCGAGTTAATTGTTAGTTTTTAATGGGGATTTTTTTGAATAATAAACTGGTCGCAGTTGAGACCTTTTGTCGAATACAAAGAAATTCGTTCGTCTTTGACCGAGGACTAATAACGCCCAATAATCATATAACGATAGAAAGGGTGGACAAAGATTTTTATGTAAGAGGCGGACCCAATAAAACTTGTGAAATTAAAAACTACAGTCGACGCTATTAGTACAGGCACAGTTTCATTTTTATTTTTTGTTTGACGAAATTTAAAAAGCCGACTCTGCGAATTTTCTACGAGCTTTTACATTGTTTTCTTGGTGACCCATAAACAATTCGTTCAATTAAAAATTACTCATTTTGTTTACAACCGATTGATAAAGAATGAATCCGAAGATAAGGGTCATCGATTTGATTCACGGTTAACTTCATGCGAAGCGACTCATCTGGAAAGAACTGCATAAGTGACGATTTTCTGAATCACAATTTTCTTTCTTTTTTATTTCAGTATCATTGTGATGTCATGATTAATTACAATGCGCTTAACTATTCC